AGAAGCTGGACACATTATGTGAACAGGTTAACTATTTCAAGGATCAGCCAGAAACTGCCGCAGATGCATATGACTATTTTCTTTGTGAGCAACACTTTAATCAGTCCAACAACTTTTTTGAGGTAAACAATCCTGAGAGGCTCAATTAGGTCCTTGTTCTATATCTCTGCAAGTCAATTATGATCAAGGAAGAGGAGGTAATTAGTTATGAAATGCCTCTAGCTGCAAATCATATCGAAGAATAGTAGAATGAATAGGCCCAAATAGAATGGAATGGATGATTTAATCGTCGAACCAACTAGTATGGAGTTGAGGCATATTTTATTTTTGTACTCTTTTTTGGACTTGAAACCAGTGCTTACAATTTCTTTCCTCTTAACTAGAGGGATATGATCAAGGGAGAAGAGATTCTTAAATTTGAAATGCCTCCAGCAGCAAATCAGGTTGAACCAGAGGAACGGCGTATGTCTGATTTGTCGGATTGGGCTACTAGTGTGGCTTCCTCTGTAGATATTCAGGTAATTACAGTATCTATTGGATTTGTATTTTTGCGATGAACTAGCATTGAGCTTTGCTTACATGTGAATCTTTTATTTTCCAATAGTGTATCTCACATCAGAATTTCTATTTTCTCATCTTATGGATTTTTCCGAGAGAAAGAAAATGTTTTCAAATGGATAATATGGACTTTTTGAGATAGGATATCGTGGAATTTTGGTAATGTGCAATCAGAATTTCAGGGAAGATAAACTTCAGTGTAGGATGCTTGCAGTTCAGATGATGCAGTGGACAAATTTGCAATCTGTTGCAAATTGTCCATTAGTTTGTTTTTCTCTTCTACCTACTTCGGCTTGTAGAAGTCAAATACATAATTGCTGGTAACCACCATTTAGATACCGTGTTAACTCTGTCTTTTAAATCTTTACTGATGAGATAGTAGAAGTTGCACATTCTTAGTTGACAAACAAGGGTATAGACATGTTGAATTCCTTAGTTTCCCATCATAGGGATTTCTATCTATAGAATAAGTCATTACCATGGCGCTAATTCGATCAGTGAGTGTGAACAACCAAGAGCAAGGTCTTGTCATATTTTACTCTCCACGTATGATAATTATGTTCTTTGCTTTTATGCTTTACCTAAACAAGTTTACATGAACTAATTTAGAGAGACAAGAAAATAGTTCCCGACTTTTATGGTCTAATTTGCAACATATGTTATTCCTTACAGCTGAACTCTTCAGCAATTGAACAAGATTTTTATAATCTCCAGAAAGAATGTGAAGAAAAAGATGTCACCATCAGGGAGTTATCCACTTTTCTTCAATCATCAGAAGCTTTTGGTGCAAAGGTACCGTAACATGTATTTTTCCTTGTACAATATCAAAGAAGATATGTGTGCTGCTCTTGTACAAAACAATGTGGTGAATACCACTCTTACAGTTACTTATAATTGTCCCATTGGTTTGATCTAACAGAGGATTGGAGAGCTCGAAGATATCATCCGTAGAAAGAATAAGATTATTACAAAACTCAAGAAAGATGTTTTAATCTTAGAGCAGAAGGTAATGATTCCTCATAACAAATGCTAGCAGTCTGTGTCTGCATAAGTGAAAGAAATTTTTGCAGCAAAATGTTGCCTCGTTATTTTAAAAATTTGTGATTTACACTACTTATTGTAAATGTCCTCCATCATGATACCTACTGATTAATGTTGTGATGTCAGAGAAAAAAATGGTCTTGTAAACTGAATTACAGTCTAATCTTGACGATATATTTGCTTGAGCATATTTAAATTCTTTAAAACAGAATGCTTAAACTTAATGCTTCAAACTAAAATTTATTTTGACTTATTCAACTGGTAATTTGATTTATTAGGTCAACACGAAGTGTGAATCATTTTGGGTTTGTAATTTGAATTTGTCTTTTAACAGGTTATAAATCTAACAAGACTTAGAAGACCATCTTTCTCTTCAAAAAGCTCAAAGGGGGTGAAGCTTCCTTCATTGACTGACAACATCCTTTATGATATGGACAGTTCTTCTAGCCCTTCTTCTTCAGATTCAGACAGTTCCCCAGGGAGAATAGCTCAACCTCTTTTTGCTAGTGAAGACATCAGCGTTTATCACGGTGAGAATACTTTAAGGGAAAACCAGAAACAGGAGCAGGTCGAGAGCTTACCTTTATTAGTGAAACCAACAGCTAGACATCCAAAGTCACGACCAGTAAGCCCTTTGAAGGAGAAATCATTGAATCAGTTACAGGATTCAGTCTCCAGATTGAAACCAAAGCAGGCATCATCTATTAGTGCAGAATCTAGGAGGAGACGACCTCCTGTTGCTAAGTCGAAGGATGTGGTTGCACAAAAGCGATGGCTCTAGTAAGTATTTTTCTTTCTAACTCAAAGAGATTGCAATTACTAGATTTAACTTTCAACACTTGCTCTTTTGTACCTCAAAAGAGCATGTGCTCTCTTTGAAATTGTATACTGACTTCCGTGAATATGGTATTACCGAAAACTTTATTGAATGATTAAGAGAAACGTATGTATCATATAAGTTAATATGTAGAGAACAAAGATACACAACAACAATGTTTATAAACAATTAACGTTAGCCTACTTTGTTTTTCTTATTGTGGTTAACTTTTCACCCCTTTCTTCAGGCCGTTAGACGTGAATGTCACAAGTAAAATAGGCTATGCAAAGTAGAAGACGTTGCTGGCCTGATATTTGGACCTGAAAGAGCTTCAGTGTAGCTTCATCAACTTCTATGGCTTCTTCCCATTTCCATCATTTCCTATGACGAACATGCCAAATAGACAGCATTATATATTTAGGTAGTAAAATAGTAGAGTATATAAAAGTTATGAAACCAGTCTTATATTTAGTTAGACATCTTATTATATTGTAGCAAGTATGAAATGTGTCAATCATACAATTTTGGGATGTTGCCTGAACTAGCAATTATACTTCCTATGTGTTGCTATTATATGACACATTTTGCTTCTTCTGAAGTCTATGTATGTCTGCAACTTTTGACGACACATTTTCATTTGGCTTAAAACGCCGCCGACCCCTTAAATTTATCAATAAATTTCGTCAGAAACTTGTACGATTGAGCATCTGAAGTTTGAATACATGATAGTGTTCTTATTAGGTACCTCCAATTCAACTTTTTTTTGCATGTGCTTTTGAACGTCATTTAGGTACTTAGTTAAGTTAATCATATAAAATGTGTCATCTATTTAATTATACATATGGGCCTCAACTGGAACAGGTTTGAGGTTTTACGGTTTATTCAGGCTAATGTGAGGCATTTCAAGTGGTTTACTTATCTATGTAATTGACACTTGAATATACACCCAAAAGGTTTCCGAACAAAAATGTTTAATAAGAATATTTTATCATGTGTTTAAATGTTCAATTAAAATAAGTTGTAATTTGAGTGTTCAAATAAAATTTATTGAAACGATCAACTTGGGTCTACTTAATTACGCGCTTGCTCTCTGTTTTCTTATACCCAACTCACATAGCAATGAGACTCCACCATGCCTCTATGGAAGTTCATCCTCTCTCTGCGTGTGCGCTATCTGGTTTGTTATTCTATTTTCCTTCACAACCATTTGGTGTCAAATGTTATTCATTTTCATGCAAAGACACCTTTTATATATATATATATATATATATATATATATATTAGCTTCTGAGGACGTGTTTTGCACGTGTGTTTCATGTGTTTTTATAGATACGTTAGAATAACTAAAATCTCATGGAAATATATATATGTAAATTGTAATGAATAATAAAATGTAACAATTACAAAATTCAAAGACTTGCAACAATAAAACATTCACAGAAAACTAAATTAAGAAGTCTAATAGAGTGAAAAAAAGACAAAAAGAAACAGAATATTTAAGAAAAAATACAACATAGACATTATTCTTATAAGATTGATGTATATATAGATGAAAAAAAAGTACAAAATTAGTACATAACTCTTTGAGTTTGTATCGACTCCTTTCATATCCTATCAAAATTCAAGAGTCTTCATCATCTGTTTTTATTATAGCATAAAAATAATGAGTCCGAAACTCAAAGGGTAGAAAATATTAACAAAAATTCCAAAACGGTATATAAAAATTTATATAAACCAAAACGGTAAAATCGCTGCCGACTAAGCGATTTACTTCAACTGAAAAAGTAAAATCGCTGCTGAGGCAGCGATTTTGCCAAATTTTTTTTTATAATTTTTTTTGTTATTAAATCGTTGAAATAAGCAATTTTAACTTATGTATATAACTTATAAGAAAATATACATTATTTTTAAAAAAATTAAAAATAAGTAAAGTAATAAATATATTTTCTTTCTAAAAAAAGATATTATATTGAATTTAAATTTAAATAATATTTGAATTCAAATAATTAATTTTTTTAAATAAAAAATTAAAGGAGAAAAATTATTTAATTTTTTTTTAAAAAATAAAATTATATACTTATATATATATATATATATATATATATATATATATATATATATATAGTTAAAAGGATCACATGACAATAGTACATCCTTTGTTTTTATTGTAAAATTTGAAGAAAATATTCACAAGTTAAAAGCATCACATGACAATAGTAGACCCTTTGTTTTTATTGTAAATTTTTTAAAAAATATTCACATGTAAATAGTACATCATACTTTGAATTCTATAAATTGGTGCTTCAATTTTTCATACTTTGAATTCTATAAATTGGTACTTCAATCTTTCAATCTTCCAATCCAATCTACTTTCAATCTTCCACAATCTTAAAATTCTTGTTATTTTTCAAATTTTCTAAAGTTTTTAAAAGCATTTTCTTTATAAGGTGAGTTTAAATTTATTTTATTTTTAATTTATTTTAATTTATTTTATACTTTTATATGATATTGTTGATATATTCAATCGTTTGATACTTACATTAATGTTAATTTTTCTTTTTATTTTTTGTGTATAGATATGCATCCATCAAATTTATACGTACATCCTGGTCCATTAGAGCATGATGTATTAAAAATTCAAGTTCATCATCGTTCCGAAGGAATTTGGAATGGTAGCATAAAAGAAGAGAGATGTTGCTTATATATGCGTCGTGGTGATATTGAATTTTGGCAACATTTAAAATATCATCCATTACATTCTCGCATCCTTCAATATTTTGAAAATTGTAGATTTAAAGGAATTCTTGATGTTGGATGTGTGCCGTATGACTCCGGATTAATTTCTGCTTTAATTGAAAGGTGGCGTCCGGAAACTCATACTTTTCACATGCGAACTGGCGAGGCTACCATAACTTTACAAGATATTGAAATTTTATTCGGAATGGTAGTAGATGGTAGTCCTATAATTTTAAATGGAGCTGATTCTTTAGGGATTATAGGTAGACAAGAAATGATTTTTCAATTAACAGGATGGTTACCCGATACTAGTTGTTTTTCTGGTGTTAGTAGATTGTTAACATATAAATTGATTGAGTATATCGAAGGTTAGGAAGTTATTAATGATAACTCAACTGAGCATGAAGTTCAATAAAGATTTAGATTATATTTATTATGGTTATGTGGTGGATCAATATTTCCGGATAAATCTAATAATAAGATTAATTTGGACATTTTGATTGACATGAGAAATTTAGATTTAATGTCAACTCATGCATGGGGATCGGCCGCATTATCATATTTGTATAATTGTTTATGTCGTGCGTCAATGAAAAAATCAAATGAAGTTTGTGAATTTCTCTCTTTAGTGCAGGTATACATATTTTTTAATTAAATATTTTTTATATACTAGTAATATGCACTTTTAAATTTAAGTGCATTATAAGTAATGGTGAATTTATTTATTGTAGATTTGGGCATGGGAAAGAATTATTCCCCAGCAACCATTGCCAAAGCCTCTAAGAACCAATCAATTTGAGGCTTTAACTGCGCTTGCATGTAAATGGACGCGACGTAGAAATCATCAAAATGAGGCACGAACTGTAATCAGTGTGATTAGGGATGTACTTGATAATCTAACTGATGAACAGGTATTTAATATTATTAGTATATTATACTTTTCATATTTTATTTTATTTTAAATAAGAATATATTTTTTTCTGCCAATGTTGTTTTTATAATTATCTTACTTAATTATTTCTTTTATAGTTTATTTGGCAGCCTTATTCGGAAGATGTTATTAATGGATTGCCTGAGTGGTGTCGGTCAGGACAACGTGTTTGGATGGCACATGTGCCACTGATTTATGGAATTTATCGTGAGTGGCACATGATTGATCGTGTTGTGAGACAGTTCGGTTATTTACAACATATTCCTGGACCGTGTACCCAATTTTCCGAATATCATTTTAAGCGTGATAAACGATCAAAAATAAAACAAGAAGATATAGATGCATTTAACTATATACAATATTTATGGGAACAACATCAAAATCGTATATTTCGACCTCCATTTGTAAGTGATCAAACAGATTACTTCCGTTGGTACATGAGGCATACCCGCATGGTCATTGGAAATCCACAACATGTTGTACAAAAAGGGTATCAACACATGGCAGGAAGACATGAGACATTAGTATGTATATTACATAAATTTCAAATTATTATGTCAATCTTTAATTAATTTTTTTATTAATATTTGTTTATTCATTATAGGCTAGGGGTCATGAAATGCAGTATCGTCGAGCTCGGATGATTGAAAATGATGAAAATCAATCTAATGAAATGAGACAATATGCAGCGGAAGTCGCTCGTATTTCAATGGAGTCAATAAATGCGGCCTTTCAGGGAACGCGATTGAGCTTTGATCATGATTACAATCCTCCCACTCAATACGATGAACCACCACCAGTACAAGTATTTCGCCGATCACGACAAATAACACCGAGAGAGGGTGCTCGTCGAGGTAGAAGGACCACTAGTGAAACAACTAATTTTTCTGTAGGGCCCTCTAACACTAATGTGGCGACTCCCGAGCCTTATTACCCCACATTTGATTTTTCTGTAGGGCCCTCTAACACTAATCCGAATTTTTCTAGTCAGCAAACAGTTGGTTTTGTAACTCCGCAGGTTCCAATATCTGGATTTGCACAATTTAGTGGTTCTCAATATGGTTTTCAACATGGTATGCGTGAATTTCCGATACATAATTCTCCATTTAGTGGAAGATTGAATTTTTCGAATGTAAGTATAATTATTTTCATACAATTTTTTTAACTTTTTATATATTTTTTTATTTTTATTGCATGTTTATTTGATTATATTATGTTGTATTGTATTATAGGTAACTGCGTTTGATGATTCAAGATTTAATGCTGGGGCTTCACAAAATTTAGTTCTTAATAGACAAAATCCACCTCGGAGAACATCTAGGCTACACAAATCAACTAGATGTGGAACAGGCAGTCACTATCAAAATGAGGAAGATTTTGAAAATGAAGATGAAAATGAAGATGAGAATGAATATGTAGAAGATTCGGATTCAGAAGAATAATTTTTTTTATGCACCTTTATTCTAAAAGGCTGAAGATTCGAATTTTGAAATATGTAAATTTTGTTGTTTCGTGCAAGTTTGAACAAAGTAATGAGATTCTTTCCTTTTTTTTATTTATTATGTTTGAACAAGTTTGCAGGATATATCATATGTCAAATCAATACTTTTTGTCAACATTTTTGTATGTTTGAACAACTTTGCAGGATTTACTTGTTTTTATCATAAGTCAAATCAATACTTTTTACGTTAGGTCAAATCAATACTTTTTATATTAGGTAAAATCATTATTTTTTACTTACAATATTTAAAATGCACAAGACAAATTAAATTCATGTCAACAAATAAATATAAAAGATATATCATAATATTAATAACAAGATAATAAAAACACATTAACCTTAAAAACATATACAAAATATTTAAAATCGAGTAGGACATCGTGCCTTTGTGTGACCTGTCTCCTTACAAACACTACATTTTCTAGTCATGCGAGCCGGAGCTATTTGATGGCATGCGAACAAGGCATATGATAGTTTCTCCATTTTCCACAAGAACATTTCTTACCTTTTGCAGTAACCTTGTGGACATTTCCACCTTTACCATCATGAGCAAAAGTAAGAATTTCAAAAACTCCATCACCTGTGTTGTAAGTCATCATATCTGTGTGCCCTTGAGCTCTTTGATAATAATCATTAAATTTTTTATCTATCGCAAGAGGCCATGGCATATTACTTTGAAGTAATGCAATTGCAAGATTGTTTCTTTCGACAAAACGATCAACGAGAGCTTTGAACGTCATTCGAACCATGACAGTCACAGGAAGCCCCCGAGCTTTTTTCAATAAACCATTATATGATTCAGACACATTTGTCGTCATGGCACCCCATCTACGACCACCATCCTTATACATTGTCCATTTTTCCAAAGGAAATTCATTTAACCATTCATATGCTGCAGGAGACAATGTTTTGATTTGTTGCATCCGTTGCATAAACTTTTTCTCCTGATGCTCAGTAGCAGCCAACCACATTAGATTTTCGAGTTCACTATTTATAAATTTTTTATTAAAATTTGCTTTTAAGTGTCGAACACAAAATCTATGATTCTAAGTACAATGTTACGACTAGAAGGTAGTCTCGAATCGTGATAACTATACAAACTTCATTAAAAGAGTGGGTAGAAACTTCAAGCCCTGAAAGTAACAAATTTTGTTTTGGTGGTAAAGAAGTGATATCAACTAGAATTTTACAAAGTATCAATATTCATGTAGTAATAACTATTGTCCCTCCTAAGTGTGTTTTGAAGGGACTTCATCGAGTTTTTTCTGCAATCTTTGTAGCAATGGAAGAAAACAAACACTGGACTACAAGTGAGAAAATTTGTTTTCCAAAATTGGAGGTTGTTTGGGTTTAATGTCATGCCACAAATAAAGGGAACAACTGACACCTAATGCCAAATCACACAAATGGTGCATAACATCCACATAAATTCAAGAAACAAACAAGTATATCTCACCCTAAAAATATATTTTCGACCGGCAAGACCCTTATCAACAACTCTACAAAGAAAACAAATACCCCTAACAGTTCATGTAAATCAATGACCAACTAGCACACAAGCCTATTTGGGCTGTCGAGGCATCTATGTTATCCATGAAAGAATTAATGCTACGTGAACCTTCAAATCCACCATGATCTTTATACAATTGCAGAAAATGGTATGCATCTAAACAATATGTCTAACAACTATCAAACATCAGTTAGCCAGCACACAAGTCTAATATGGACAACAACATGGTTATATAACCCTACATACTAGTTTGGAAGGCTCTATGAGTCCAATACTTTGATGCAATAGGGCCTAACCTTTCTAAAATCTATAAATACCAAAATAAGCAAACCTTGTCTGCTCACTACTTAGGACCTACAGGAATGAGGGAATCTCCCCTACGCAAAGGGTGTCAGTTAAAATAATGTATTGAGCATGTAAGGCAAATTAAAAGCTAAAAATGAAGTATAAGTACCAAAAAATTGAAGGGACACAATAAGATATTTTAAACATATAACAAGAAATTACCTAAGTTGGACCCCATAAACTCGACAAGTGCAAACATCACACAGTCACTTTCTGTTCTAATGAGCACAAATATTTGCTAAATAGCGATACTACCCCCTTACTCCCAATAAGAATTTGATCTAATTTGTCTTAATGTACATTTTCCATTAATTAATGATCTAAGGCTCCATGATATAATTCATATATGTTTCCCCATATTTATAGTCTTGTCTTCCCATTAGTACGGTCTACCTGGACCATATGCATGGTGTACTTAGCCCATAGGCATGGTTTACCCAACTCGTAGGCACGATATAGTCAAGTTGTAGGAATAGTATAATGGAGGAGTAGAATTCACGGGGAACAGTCACATACCTTGATACTCAAAGCCTAAGATGAATCATGAATTGGTACTCTTGAATAAACCCTAGATTTTTTCTTCCTTAGGTTGAGAGGGAATTTTGGAGAGTGAAGTTGGTTATGTTTTGGGGGAAATAGGAGAATGAGTTTAAAATTGGTAGACTTGAGACTTATAGGTATTATATAAGTCTTAGGGTAGAGGATAAAGTGACATAGTATAGACTTAAAACATTTAGTAAAAGACCCCAAACCTCCAAATACTAACTGCTCAACTCCAAAAAGCCAAGGTGTTACAAGATGACCAAATTTTCACTGCCAACAAGTCATAAATGATTTGAGGTCATTTCAAGAAATCTCCGAAAAATGACCTAGAGGTTCATTACATTAACTCTCAATGTTAGAATTACCAAAACCAATTAATTAAATCAATTTTTTGAAATTTAATTTATTGACTAACTTAATCATTTATTATTATACTTTACCTATTTTACACGACAAATGTAAAACCAATATGTAGGGTTCACATGAAAACTTATAAGTGACCATAGAGGGGTGTGATACATGGTTCTGTTACTAATTATTATTTCACTAATTTGATTTATCATAATCTAATCTTTTGGAAATAAATTAAGTCATAATTGAGTTGCAACTTTAATATATTAGAATAATATATAAAACTACAAAGATCATACTAATTATATCAAGATTAAGAGTATAAATACTTGTAATGAAGTAGAAAAGTGTTTTTGTTAATCTTTAGAACATAAACAAACATCTTTTCTTGATTTGTTTAATATATATGAAATGTACTTGCACAAAAAGTTGAATTATGACCACTCCCATAATTTAGATCAAATTATATTTATTTTTGTTCCATAATAATAAAGTTGTTTTTTCTACTTCTTATTTAATTGTGAACATTAATTTATCTTATGAGAACCACTATTTGAATCTTTCCTGCATTAATTAGATAACTCCATATATAAAAATTGTCTACAATATAAGTAATGAATATACATATTAACAGAATAATTTATTCAAACAAAGACTTTGTTATAATAAATAAGTAAAAATAGTCTTTACTTAGGTTAATTTAAATAAAATATCATAACTCAACAACATGATTCATAGTATATCTCAACACAAACAACGTCTAACACAAAAATATAATAGTGTCTCATTAGCACAATGATGTCAACACTTTTCATAAGATGATCACAGGTCCTTGATATTGGGTGTATAAGCATCTCCAAAGTCATTATTTTCTATTCCATAAAGTAGAAAGAGATCGTCTAATCCAGCACATTTAGGAAAAAAATATTCATCAATGTAATAGGATAAATCACATTAGTTATGTGAAAACAAAATATGATATTTTAAGTTCTTGTGCTCATTAAATTTTTCATTTTCTACAAGATTTATACATAGAGAAACTACCTTCTTTAGGTGAGAAAAGATCACAATTTTCCATATTTGTAAAAATGTTATCATGAGATATTCGATGATCCTCTTTTCCATGTGAATCCTCAAGTGTAGTCTTGTTTCCCTCTTTTGCACTGTCTATTTTCATAGGAGGAGAGACTTCGAGTAGGGAAAAGTTTGTAGTAATACATACTCCTTCCTTGTCATTTTCACCTGCAAATTATATGAAGATTAAATATCAAAAATTAAATTAATGTAGCTAATAGTATTGATAATGTGAAAGAACTCAAACTAAATATTTACACATTAATCTTATAATTCTTGTGATCAATCATTCAATGGCGGTGAATATAATTCTTGAGATTTATCTAGTGCAATCATTAATAGATTTTATGGTGAAAAATACCTTTATTTAGAATAAAATTTTATGTGACCATAGACATAACATCATTGGCCACCATTTATTCCTAAAAATAAGTAGATTTTAATTTATTTTCTAATATTTGTAGGTAAATAAAAATTATAATCTCAAAAATATTAGTATATACTATGTAGTTTTGACAAACTAGACCGCAAATGTTTATGATGGTAGGGGTGTGAGGTAGTAAATATGAGGGCTATGAGATTGATTATTTTTCCGAATTCCATAAGAGAAGTAGTTTTTCTTAGTTTTAACGTACTTATTTCCCTTTTAAAACATATTTTCCACAAAGTTGGTCCAACCTAACATGACCATAATTAAATGTTTTCTTTTCAAACCTGACACACCTTAATTGCATAAATCTTGTGATTATCTCATGCATTTGTAAGGAGTTGATTAAAATACATGTCTCTAGTGCGAAATCAACGGGACTCACAAACTCAACATTACTGGCCAAGTTTGCAATCCTTTCTTTTTCTCCATAATTCTCTTCATAAGGAAGTCTCTTCTCCATATAAGCATTCTCATTATTTGTTATTTCTAATGATTGTGAAATGGGGACTTGCTCCATATTTTCTGCAAAAACAAATGAAGTCAATGTATAAATATTATTTAAACTACTTTACTTATCTTAATTTATATGATATAATTTGACTACACATAAAATTTAAGAAAAAAATAAATACTTTCAAGAATTATGATCCAAATTTTCCTATAACGTTGTTATAAATAATTTTATCAAACATAAAAAAAAATTTAATATTAAATTATTTCCAAATATTAAGATGCATCATTCTTGTATTCTCTACTTCTTGAAATAATGGTGACATCAACTGAAGGACATCTATCGAGACATTGGAGGAAGAAAGCTTGTCGAATTTTGATGGCAATAAAATAAAATAAAATAAAAAAACTTATAACAAAGGATTAAGCTAGTGATAGGATTACTTACCTACACTTTGTGAAAATTCATAGTCCAACTCATTACTTTTGTTGAGGTGAGCAAACACTTTATTTTCACCCTCTTCTACCTTGTCCACTTCCTGGTGGATTTAACATCATTATGGTAATTGTGATTGTCTAAGTTCATGAGATTATTTTATGTACCACATGAATTTAATAACTTACCACAAACTCGCTTGTTTCTTTGAGCTCCATCATTTCACACATGAGTGCCACTTCATTTCCTAAATGTAGATCACCATTGTTTTCTTTCTGCTCCGTTGTTGTATCCTCTGAATTTGAAGATTCTTTTTTTCTTTTCTTGGAAGGGCGTTTTGGAGACCCAATCTTGATTTAATTAAAGATCACGCTATATGAATGATTGGAACAATAAAAAACATATTTGTCAAATTGTTAAATATCTTACCTTAATCTCTTTTACCATATTGGTTTCAGAATTGACTTGTACTTGTACTTTCTCATATCCATCTAAGATGTATCTACATACTTCCATAACAGATCGACATATGGAGCTTTTTCTCATGTGATGGTAAACCTACAATACAACAAAGTTTTTTATTAGGTTACAATAATTATTAAAAAAAATTAAATAGTGTACACTATTACCTTGTACTAACAAATTATTAACTATACTCTGCTAGACAAATCCAATCAGATAAGCATGCTATACAAATGAAGCAACTAAAATAATTATAATAGATAAAAATTCCTCGTGATATAATGTAGAAACTATAACAGAACTGTTAGATAAATTACTATATAACTATTATTTAACTTTTACATTTTATAAAATATTACATGTCTTATTTTTAAGATTACAAAACTCATATTTTGTAGACTCTTACCAGTAAGTATACTTTAAACTACATGATAGTGTAAATAAGACATTATCCAAATGATGAATAAAATTTAAACTCAATGTCACAACTAGTTTAGTTATTAATTCCTTATCTCTCATTTTCTTGACCTATTATTTTGTTAGTTCGACTTTGCTAATATATAAAATCAAGAAATAATAATAAAAATCAATAATTTAAGTTATATGCAAGAAATAAAATAATAATTTTAGTTACCTTGTCACATTGACCATTAGTGCGCCTTCTCTTTTCACATGTCCAGCCGTTAAGAATATCCTGATATTTTTGATTAAGTCTGAATGGATAGACTAAATCTTCTCCCTATAATTCGAGTCCATAACAAAGTATTTGGAAGAGTTAACCTTTCTTGCTCGTCAACGCTGTTTGTCGATCATAATTATGATCAACCCTTGATATATTAATTTAAGCATAAGAAATCTAGAAAAATAAATATACTAATTACCTTGTTTAATTTTACAGTATAAATATTAGTTTCACCTGCCAGAGGTACAATTGAAAAGCTAACAGTAGACAGTGCTATGACTTCTGCACTAATCAATCCCCTCTTCCTTCCGGTGAGTTGATAGGGAGTTAATTCAGACTCATTCTGCAATAATAGAAAACTTTTAATCAAAATTTCATTTCATAGTTGATTGTGTTTTAAATAATAAGTAATTTATAAACTATCATATCATATTTACTTTTTCTGACAAGAAAACTACCTAATTTTTAGGATTACATAATTTGTTTTGATTGTTATATGCTTATATATATATTTTGGATGATTTTATACTATAAAGTTTTATTTACATTGTTTGTATATATAAGTTAAACTCTTTTACAGAATAAAAGAAATAATAAAAGTTTGATGCTTTGATGATATAAAACAATTCACACTATATTATATCTGAATGTCCATATAAACAAAATGAGTTTCTAGGTGAAAGATATATATGTTCACAATATATGACAATAATATATGAAATGATAATACATATATCATCAATTCACATGATAATGAGAAAAAATAAAATTTAATGGTCATAATATCATTAACCAAAAAAATATATGATATTCACACTTAAATAACAATTGTTTCCTCAATTGCTTGAAATATCAAAAAAAATTATTTCTTCTGGGTGATGGCGAATAGAAATTATGAGAGTTCTAAGAGTTTATCAATTAGACATTGAAATTAACATAAATTCTTCGTCATAAATATGATTAAGACGGGGTTAGATAATTTTGATAATTATTAAACCAGTTTAATACATAATACTAAATTATTAAACTACATTATTAAAGCAAAGGATATTAGATTAGCAGTTAGATTCCCGTAATTTTTGTCAATATTGCAATTAAAATCTAACATACAAATCTAGAGACAAATAGTATGTTATAATAATTATTTAGCAAACACTATACAAAATAATAAAACACTTAACTAAACATCATTCTTTTATCATTTAGTGCTTATAAAAATATATAAAAATGTAATTGCTTATAAGATAAAATGTAAACTTGCCATTATATATATGAAATTTAATCAGAGTTTTTTTTTTAATAATGTGATTAATTGTCATCTATATTACAAAAACTATCATACAAAAAAACTTAATTTCTTCCCTTTTTTATCCAAAATTCTATAGTTATTTCAATTAAAAAATGATAAAAATATTCTCCATAATTCTATTTTTTCAAAAGGCATCTAAGTGTTATCAAATCTCATTTATTTTCTTAAAATCATATCAAAAAGTAAAATCTAAATAGACATAAATGTTATGATAAAATTTGTGAAAACAAAATCTTGATACACAAATATTCCTCAGAATAATGAATTATTCCCAAACAAAGTATTACTCCAATGTCTAAAAATACCTAGAATTCACGTGTTTTTACTTATCCATAATGATGATCAAGATTTAACCAAGGAGTTAAAATCTACGCAAAAAATAATAAATTAAAGGATAAAGAAAAAAGTAAGAGGAAACAATAGAATGCTAAATTGTAGTTTCTTACTGATGTCTCTGAGCCATTCTCTCTTGGATGACTTGATACACTAGAGGGTAGTAACACCGAGTCATTAATATCAACTCTTTGATTTTCTTGAGCCTGTAAGGGATCGGGAGAAGTACAAGTTAATTATCAAAGTTTGGATGCAGAAAAAATATTATTTATTTATATTATGTTCGGTAAAATTTTTACTTATTTGTAAATTATAGTAGAAAATAACTCATAAAATTATAACAATACATTGTTACTATACATTCTCTTATTTTTTTTCAAAGTGCGAATCAACTTTTCATTATTTCATATTTATTAAAATGAACAACTAGAAAATATTTTATATTTGTAAGAAAACTTTTCTACTTCTTTAAAATGAATTTTTAAAAAAACGTTTCTCCAAAAATAATTTATACAAATTGCTATTCGAATTATACCTTTTGTGGATTCATTATAATTATTATACAACATGCTAAAAAATTAGTACTGGTAAAACAACATACCGCCATTTGAATATTATTGACTGGGGAAACATAAGGTATTATTTCACGGCAATTGTTTATTTCAGAAGAAGAATCCATTTTTTTTCTCTACAAGCAAGATAAGAGCAAAATTTACTCAAGAACATTGAGAAGAAATATATTTTGAAGGTAAATGGAGATATGTATTTATAGATAAAGTGTAAAGAAAAAATATCTAACAAATGTGTGTGCAATATTAATTGATATTTACCTCTTTTTAGTATGGATCAATGTTTTTTCCATATTTGGTCAACTATTTACTAACCAAATTTGAATATTTGTTTATAGTAATTTTGTTATTACTTAGATTCTAGTAATTGTTTCTCTAGATATCATGTAGTTACAATCCTTGTAACTAGACTAGAACTGTCAAATGGGCGGGTTGAC